ATCTCCAAAAGTCTTGGCCCCGCAAGGTATTTTAAAAAATATTCAAATTGAATTTTAAAAATATAGAAAACTTTATTCTTTATTTTAATACCAAACTATGTGATACACAGCTTTTGTAATTTGCTTTCCGAATAATGCAGAATAAAGATAATTACAAAAAATTGTCCAAAAATTCTGAGTAAGAAAATTTTATTTTTTTGTGAAAAAATGTTATACAAAAACATAACGTAATAGTCTGTATTATCGCTCCTCCTTTCAATCAATTGTCCAACGCGTGGCGGCATTCCGCGGATCCGGTTATCAATAAAATGATCAGACATATTGTCTCACTCTTCTTGAACAGCTACAGTCAAGTCCTGTAGGGTTAAAGGGGGTTTTCTCGATTGGATATTGCTCTGCCAAGATAATCCCATACATGTTAAATGGGATTCGTGCCTAATTTTAGCGACCAGTTAATTATTTGGATCTTTCCTTCCTGCAGCATGTTTTGTACCCTTTGCGTATGATTCGGTCTGGCATTTTCGTCTTGAAAAATAAAATTGTTTACAAATTCGTTGCTCAACAGCTGAATGATTGGTTGAATAATGTTTTCAGCGTATATGGTACCTTTGATAATTTTCTCAATCAAAATAAGTGGGGTACGATGACCAAACATTATACCTCCCAAAACATCACTGATCCGCCCTGATAGAGATTAACACCTCTTGCCAAAGTAAGTCGTCCCTGTCTACCTGGACCCCTCCAGATGCTTTCCCGCCAGCTATCACTCTAGCTCAAATCCTGACTCGTCCGAAATAAGGACGTTGCGCTATTGTGGTAAAAGGCCAGTTCTTGTGCGCTTGACTCCATTGGCGACGTACAGCTCTGTGTTTGGTAAGAGCCTAGGCAGTCTTAAAGGTCATCTTCATCTTAGATTTCAGGAATGCAATCTTTTTCTTATGGTACTTCTCGAAACTACCCTCCGGTACTTTCGCAAAAAATGACTTCGAAGGGCTGTTACTGTCATACTTCGGTTATTTTGCCATATACTGGTCTTCCCTCTCTGATATCACTCTGGGTCGACCAGTCACCATCCTTCGCACAACACTGCCTGTTTTATGGAAAAAGGCCACTATGCACCTTACCAAAGACCGTGAAATATTCAGATGACCCGCAATCTGGTGATTTGACAAATCCTCTTGAGGTAAGGTTACTATTCTTGCCTGGACAAACTGAGAAATCGGATGACTTGGCATTTTATATCAAATTTACTTGATACTTTAATACTCGATGTCAGCTTAGAACTGATTTCTTGTCAAATGGTGCATATTTTCGGACGAAAACAATGTTTTTGCTTACAACCTGTTATGTTTATGTATGATAAGATAGGGAAACATGTATACACAAAAAATAGTCACCTTACATTGACCGCGGTAAAAGTTACCAAGGGGGGGGCAAGACTTTTGGAGATGTGTGTATCTTGGAATCAATTATATTTATCAAACAAAATTACGATCTGTTTCAGATCAATGAAGTTGAACATATCTATAATATCAGATCAACACGCTTTCAAGATATACCTATATCCAAAAAAATGTAGAATATTCTATTCAAAAGATTTGGAATAAGATGGCTTCTGCACTAAAGACTTTAGAAATCAGACCACTAAAATTAAAATTGAAATCATTCCTGTGTGATAAAGCATATTACAATTTAGATAAATTATTCAGTGATTCAGTAATTATATAAAATAATGATTATTAAGAAGAAAAATAATAATTATAAAAAAATGTATGTTATGTAAAAAATGTGTTTAATGTGTATTTATTAGACTGGGCCAAAAAAATAACAATTTTTTTTTGAAAGATATATCGAGAATATCATTCAGAATGATGAAAAAAAAATTTCCTAAAAATTTGAGCCCTTAATATTAATTTTAAGAGGTCTATCATCGCTATTTTGATTTTTAGTCATAATTTGATGTTTTACGTTAGAACTGTCAAAACATTAAGGTGAAAAAAAATCCTTTTTACTTATTCTTATGTAAAATTAAATTCTCTACAAAAAAGGCCCTATTAAAATTTTTGTCAGACGAGCCGTTTTCGAGTAATTTCGTAACTAATGAATCAATGCATATTTAAAAAAGCCCACGTCGGATTCTTAAAGGAAAATTAATGTTCTACAAAAAAGGTCTCTTAATATTTTTGCCTAAATTTAATTCTTCAAAAGTTATTTATTAGTTACGAAATTACTTGGAAACAGCTCGTCTGACGAAAATTTTCAATCAGACCATTTTCGTAGAGAATTTAATTTTATATCAGAATAAGTGAAAAGGAATTTTTTTCACTTTAATGTTTTGACAGTTCTAACGTAAAACATCAAATTATGACAAAAAATCAAAAATAGCGATGATAGACCTCTTAAAATTAATATTAAGGGCTCAAATTTTCACGAAATTTTTTTTATCATTCTGAATGATATTCTCGATATATCTTTCAAAAAAAAAAAAAAAATAGTTATTTTTTTGGCCCAGTCTAGTATTTATATATAAATGTATTTATGTACTATGACATGCTCTACTCCTCTAAAGGTATTTTTCGAGTAAATAAAGATTTCTTTATATCCAAGGAAATGAAAAGGCTGATGAACTCGCCAAATAGGGATCAGAACTACCATTCTCAGGACCCGAACCTGTATTTGGGATAAGCAAAATATCTGCTCAACAGGCAGCAAACAGGTCGATAACCACAAAACACCAAATTCACTGGCAACAGATAAGAGGGCACAGAAACAGTAAGCTCATGCTAAGAGGACCAAACCCACGCATGGCTACTGAGACACTACAACTCGCAAAGCCTCAGATATCCACCATTGTGGGATTACTAATGGGGCACTGCTTGCTGAAACACCTTCATGTGATGGGATTACACAATGATCCTACTTCGTGTAGACTCTGCATGGAAGAGGAAGAAACCTCATACCATGTGATCTTCGAATGCAAAGCTCTTTCGGCCTAGAACCGGAAAGAACTCCCCAGGAATACTTGGTAGGGAATTTATTAAAACTGACCAAAGACACAGGGCTATTCCAAAGATAGTACCTGAATACGGAGAAATAACCGACAAAGATAAAAAAATGCCTGTAGCTACCTACCCAAGCGCCACGGTCTGAACGTTGCGCTTTCGTGAATTTGTTGGACACGTGTCATAGTACACTTTAATAATAAATTCATCCATAAGAAAATTAGTTTCAAATCTACATGTTGGCTCTAGAAGTATAATTATTAGAAGTCATAGAATTCATTATGTAAACAAAAGATAAATTAAAAATTAATTTAAAAAAATTGAGTAATCATAAAACAACAGTACAAATTTGTTTTAAATTTAAAAACTGTGCATAAATGTTAGCTAACATCAAAAAATTTGGATACCTATAAAAAAAATGTTCTATTATAATAAAAAACGTTTCGGAAAAAAACTAACATGTAAAAGGTATTAATTAAATTTATGGTGTTAACAATCAATTGTTATATTTATTTTTATCCATTTTTCAAAAATCAATTCAGGCATTATTTGTGTATACAAAAAAAGGAAACCTTATTTATTATTAAAGAAGTAGCTTATAACTTTCATTCGATACTAATTTCATCATAATAGGAGGTAACAACAGATAATCGCCTTTCAAAAGAGTTTGTGCTTGAGATTGTGTCATACTTCGCTCGTGTGGTTATTCGGCAGCATGCTCTTTCACTAAGATATATTTCTATACTATAAAATACCACCTCACCCCCTTAAAATTTGTTGCATCGGAAGTGTGTTATTACCTTGAAGGGTGCGTTAAACCACGGCACACCAATGTTGGTCACGTGTTTAATAATCATAATTTTTATCATTTTTAACCGACTTCAAAAAAGGAGAAGGTTCTCAATTCGTCGGTATATTTTTTTTATGTATGTTCAGCGATCATTCTTTAACACGGTGTCCGATTTCAATGATTCTTTTTTTGTTAGAAAGGTAGTACCTCAGGGGTAGTTCCGTATACAATTGGTCAGGATCTGATGATCTATGAGAACATCAAAAATCTCAATTTTTAAGAGCATCTGCACGATTTTGAAGTCTGTTTTTTAATTAAAAAATTATAGCCTATAATAATTGCCTCTTCGATTATATATTATGGCTGGCTCTTAGTCTACTAGATGTATCGCTGAATAAAATCAAATGCCTGTTTGGAAACTAAAAATAAAAATATTCTTATATTATTCTGATATTTTAAAATTTCATTTTGTAGCTAATCACTTGTTTGTCCCAAAAAAAGTATTTCTTGTCTTCCCTGGAACCACCCTAACTCTCTAAACATTAATAGACGTTAAAAAAAGCCAGTTACAAAGCTGGTACTGCGGAAAAGTATCAAAAAATACGATAGAAACAAAATAATTGAAAGTAATTTGAGTTTGAATTAAATTTAACAAAAATTTCTCACTTCACAAAAAAAAGTAGAACAATTTCAGCATGTTTCTTTATCTTCTAACAGGAATTATTTTTGGATGAAATTAAAAAAAAACATTTGTATTCACAAAGCCCTTTTAAATTAGTTACTTACGTGCAAAATTTTAGAGACAGAAACGTCAATGTCAATTTAGAGAAAATATAGGGTTGAATGGCGTGATTGATCAATCCCACATTTTGAATCGTTACTGTGTTTATTTAAATTCAAATAAATAAGATGTAAATCGTAGAGGGTAGAGGATATTCAATACCCTAATGTGGCAATTTTCATAAACTTAAAAAAAAGATGTTGAGTATTTTTATTTTCATAATTAAGGTTATGTCTCCTCAAATCATTAACAAATTAAATATTCGTTAATATTGTTTTGGAAAACATTTATGAAATTGTTAGAAAAATAATAAAATAGTACATGAAATATCGCCCAGTTATATTGGAAATATATTATAATGATGTTTCTATCTTTAAAATTTTTGTGAATTATGAGTTTTTAATGAATTAGATATAATTATTTTTAGGTGGCGAACGCGATGGTAGCCAACTGGGCAGGCCCTCCAGCAATGTTGGCAATATTTCGCAAATTTTTCGGTTCGTTTGCCGCTCCGCATATAATCCGGCAGAACAATTTCCAAAATTTTCAACACTATTACCTTCAAAAAACCATTCCCTTAGCAATGGCTGGCCTTAGAAACAACCATGGCATATGCCCTCCAGAAGTAGTTCGATTTCTTCTAGATTTGTTCAAATACAATGATAATTCCAAGAACAGGCATTCAGATAATTATTATAGAGCAGCCTTGATAGAAGCTTTAGGAAACACCGTCACACCTGTAGTATCTGTAATGGCACAAGGAACGCCCATTACATCTGAAAACCTCAGTGCCGATACAAAATCAATTTTGGAAGAGATAACTAGGTTATTAAATTTGGAAAAAGCTTTACCTTGTTATAAATATACAGTTTCAGTGGCATGCCTAAAAGCTATAAGAAAGTTGCAAAAATATGGACATTTACCTAGCAGGCCGACGTTGTTTAAGAGTTACTGCACCTACGGACATTTTATCGGTAAGTTTATACTGTATCAAGGTGAGAGACAGTTATTATAGGTTTTTGATACTTCAAAAAAAAAAAAAATCCGCCAGAGATCGTTTTTTATGGTGCATTATTTGAACATCAAACGGATAGACGGAGTGATAGGGTATTTCAACATCAACCTCTATCTAACTACAAAATCTGGCCAGTAGCTGATTGGTCAATTGTTTGACAGAGTAATGTACTCAATATCCGTATATCTGTTTAATTGTCGAAGAATGAAATTCCACTCTACGACAACAGGTGAAGTTTCGCCACCTGATGACACTATTGAAACATGAGGAAGTCAGAGATAAGGGACATAAAGAAAAGCTCATAAGAAGCACATGCTTAACGGCGACCAGCTTGAACGCAGTTAACATCTGACCCACTATGTGGCGCTTTCACCGATATCAAACAAATAACGCAGCGGGAAATTTAAAAACCTTATAATAATGGTTGTAAATATGCACTTTTATGTTCTGATAAATAAATTTAAAAAATGTTAATAACGGTAAATTATTTATTAAAAAGAAAATACTACACTTACAGTCTATTATCGATTAATTATTGTAAATCTATTCATGACAAATATTTTTTTAATTTTTGATTTTTATTTGTAACTTTAACATTTTTGTTCTTATTTTCCAAACAAGTGGCCAATGGTGTCTCATTTTTAAAAATGTTGACTGCAAACTCCATAATGGGGATTTAAATATTTTTCTTCCAAGGTATATTAAATCTTTTTCCAACGTTTTGAAGCTATTTTCTTGCTCTAACACAATACATTATAATTGAATCGCCTATAGTTAAAAGGATCTAAGTCATTTTTAAGAGTTTTGAGATTATTAACAAAAACCATTTTAAAAGGAAAGTTCATTTAAAATGTTATGCTTATGTATATCTTTCTTTATGCTCAAAATGTTGGATAAAATAAAAAAGAAGAAAATCACATGACTTTATTTTTTTAATTGCTAAAGAAGAAATTGGACTTATGTCCTTTTACCAACGAACGGGATTTTTTTTTATAACAAAAGTGGTTTATTTTTGTGAATACAAGTGTCATAGAGTCACAGTTATTATTTATGTAGGTACGTGTTTAGTTGGCCATGAGTTTATTGTATTATAATAAAAATCTTGATACTCTTCTAGCACATAGGTTACTAAATTTTGCATGTGATTTATTTTTGAAGGTAATATCGGAACTCGATCTTCGGTATAGGCTTTTGTTGTAGGCATTTTAATAATATTATTTGAATGCTTCTTCGGATTATTCAAAACAAACGTGTTCACCATAAAGTTATTATTGTTTATAAAGTCAGATGCATTAACGATTCCGGGTGTCTTGGAATCATGCTCAAAATAATGAAACTTGGAAATTGTAAAATCAACTTTATTGTTTTCTTTTTATAAGTTGACCACCAGTCTTTAAAATTTAAAATTTCTCCTGTGCTGACTTCCTTCACTGTGAATTTTCGTCTCGTACTTACTTGTATTATTATTTCTGTGTACTCATGAAGAGACAAAATTCTATCAAACATCCTTAATTTGCGCTTTATGACTCCAGAATATCGGTCACAAGGAAGGAACGAGTGTCCTCGTAGTGGGTAGTACTGTAGAATTTTATCAAACATCTTGGTTTCTACAAGAGCCATACACATTCTGATAAGAGGATGGTTCTTGTTCTGATCTGGACAGTTGTCACAGAATAATCGTAATTTTTTTGATTTTGTCTTATTGATGTAGTCAAGTAGAAAGGAGCACATCTCATTAGTGCCTTTATTTACCTGACCTTCATGATAAATATAATAAAATGATTTACCAGTACCAAGGCTGTGTATGCAAAAAATATTAACATTGCGTTGTACTGCATAAAACAGGTCTTGAAAACGTACTTCCAGCAAATGTACGTTCTGCATAAAATCAAAGGCGATGCCGTTAATAGTGGCGCTCCTCTTATGTACTGCTAGCTTTTTTAGCAGCATCACCTAATGATGTGCATTGTACCTTCAAATTTAATGATTCGCAGGTGATACATGTATCAACTTGAGGGCGGCCGAAGTGTAATGTAAAATGACCGTTGAAGTATTTTATGTAATATGAGTATTTTACTTCAGAATCTGAATGTTTTTCCATAAATAATTCGTACATTATTTTCACATTTAGCCTCGAATCCAAGTAATATTAGTCTCATGATAAAATAATAGGTCTCCTTAAAAGGAAATGATGCTATGTGTTCACGAATACGTCGAATTTCAAATTCTGGTAAACAATTTGATTTTACAGACTTGCTTCTATTATCACGAGGGGTTGTGTTCGCTTCTAATAATAGTTTGAGCCACTTAACGCATTTCCCTGTTACTGCACGTAAGTTTAAAAATGCTGCTAGGCAAACCTTTACTCTCTGATGATTAAGTGGTATAAAATGAAAAAAGGGGTGCGATTTGCTGTTTCCAACGGCAATCAATTATTGCAGGTATATATCCTGCTCATCTTTTGTTTCAAGTTGGTACAATTTATTTAAAATTAAAATTTTTTCATCGTCAGTAAGCTTCTTAAAACACTTCATAGTAAACCTGGAATAATTTATTGAAGCTATAGCATCTAAGTCTTGATAATTTTTTTATGAACTTATCTGCATGATTGTCCAATGCTTTTAGAATTTACAAAAACACCGTTGTGATTATTGTGCTTTAGTCCTTTTACTCTTGATCTTTTTATTAGAGTTCTTTCATAGGTGGTATCGTTTCTTATTTCTTTATGACGCTTTAAAGGTGATTCCTCTTAATAATTTCATTTACATCCATAGTAAACAATATCTAACACTATAGCTGCTTAATATTAATAATATTATTTTTGTTGACTATTAAACAGGTATCCAAAAATAAATAATTAAGTATTGCAAGTCGTGGCACAAGCTATTATTAAAATTTGAGGTTTTTTCTACAGGTTCCGGTTCTACCATGTTACCATGCGCGAGACATTTTATTTGCAAAAGGAACTAATTCCGTGACTTAGTTCCTTTTAGCAATAAATACTGATAACTACCGCTAAAATAGTATACAGGCAAAATAGGTAGACGGTCCCTTCTTACACCAAACGAAAGGAATATCTTCAAAGTTTCGTTTCAAAGTCAAAAACGTAAAAATATGATTTAGTTCCTTTTAACAAGCGATTCAATTAATAAATAATTTAAGACAAAAGTTGGCTAGGTACTGTTTGTTACTTACATGGGTAGATCTTACTTTGGTAAATTAAACAACGTCAGGTTGGGGTTGTTAAATTTATTAATGTGATATGTGTTACTAATGCAATATACGTACTTTGACTCATTATTATAATATAAAATATAGATATTGTTCTCAAATTCCACACAAAAACAACTACAACCATTTCTCTTAGTTCACCTTATAATATAAACCATTCATAAACTCAAAATTTAAATTCAGGATTCTCCGATATACATACAACCAGTGGCGTAGCCAGCCATTTTTCATGGGAAGGGTTTCTGAGAACTGGGAGGGGGGTTTTCATCAAGAAAGTGAATAAAAACAAACCGTTAATAGCGATCAGCGCCATTACTATAGCGGAAATGGTGACGCGACGACTCTCCATGGGGAGGCTCTGACCACCCCCCTTTTACCCCTTTAGAGGTAGGTAAGGATTTGTAATATTGATCGTATTCTTCAGGGATAACATCATTTTTACACAATTTCAGTAGGTCTTTTTTTTCTTATCCGAAATGGGTATACATCTTGTGTACACTTTCATTTGCATTTAGAGGACGACCTTTACTATTGTATTTCCTTATACACAAAGTAAAATTAAAATAATTTTTAAACCTAACATAAATGCACTTGTCTTGTTTTAGCTGCCAATATGATTCTTGTAATGCACTTAGTCTTTTATGTGCGTTTAATACAATTATCTGGTTCTGTTAGTACATAGTTTATACAGTTTTAATGTTAGGCATGCATTTAACTCAAAAATGAAAAAAAAGTACTTATCTTGTTTTGACAGTAACCCGACAATATACATACCCCCTTTTTTCAGTACTTGGCATCAAGTATTTTATAAAATAAATTTTCTTCAAAATGTTTTGGACATAGGCGGTCATTTTTCGTAGGTGCCCAATTTATTACATTCATTTGTTGGATCCACATATTACTCATCTGTTCATTCTTATGAGGAAACCTGAAATTTTTTTGTCATAATAAATAAGTAATAATAAACCCAGAGGTAAATTATGTTTAAATTCCCTTAAAAATAAAGATTTTCACCATCAAGTCCAATGATGTTTCCTTCAAAATGCATTTAAATGCCCATAAATTCATTTAAATTTCTAAATAAGTTCTAATAAATTCCCTAATAACTCGTAATTTTCCTCAAATGTCTCGTAAGATCCTCGCAATTTCCTTTCTTTATACACATAATTCCCTGCGGTTTACCCCTCGTAATAAACATAACAAAATTATACAAACAACTGAAAATATGTTTATATATTAAATAAAATGTTCACTATATAATGACGCCACTAGAATTGGAAAGTTAATTGTAAAATGGTATGTTTTCTTTGTTTATAACGTCGCTATAGGCTAAATAAATAAATAAAAATGCAAAATATTGAAGCACAGTTATTGTTATTGTTGTTATACAATTTTTTACTTTTGAAAAGTATTTCCAGGCTCATTTTTGTCACTACGGCTTTTATAATAGAGAAGGCAGAACATAACACCATATTGTCCACTTACTATAATGCACAGAAAAAAAGGTGTACTATATTCAAGATGAATGGTCTTATTTCAATGCTTTGTTGCGTTTGTATATCCGCAAGTAGAACTCGTCTCGATTTGAAATTCTAGTAATACTTGTTCAACAATAGCTAATAAGCCTTGCTTCAAGAATAAAATCAACTTGCCCTAACTAAAATACCTCTAATTAAATGAAGAGTATCTATTGTTCAATTGCAGTATTATGTACATCTTAACTGAAAT